CAAGGTCATAACAATGAAGACAGACCGCAGACGATACCAAATGAAAGGTACATCTCGCAAGGTCAAAACAGTGAAGACAGACCACAGATGATACCAAATGAAAGGTACATCTTGAAAGGTCAAACAGAGATAACAGACCCCAGACGGTATCAAACGAAAGATACATCTTGTAAGGTCAAACAGAGATAACAAACCCCAGACGGTATCAAATGAAAGATACATCTGGCAAGGTCAAAACAGAGATAACAGACCCTAGACGGTATCAAATTAAAGATACATCTAGCAAGGTCAAAACAGTGTGACTTTGAAAAAGGTGACATCAGCATACAGTGTAAATCGCTGATGAAATACTGTTACCTTAAAGCCATGAATTATAAGGCAACCCATGATATTCGTAACCATACTGACTAGAGTACTAGACGCCCTACAAGCATCTATATAATGTGATATTTGTCACCCCTTGGCTTGGTGGGCCGTGGACTGTAGCTAGCAGTCAGGGTGCGGGGTTGTCAATCCCGTATAGGCCTATACACACAATGTCCGCTCTCCCTACAGGAGACTCTGGTTACCAACTAGACGATGGAGAAGGCCGCATCCCGAAGATGCATCCCAAATAGAGGATAGTGTGTTACTAAGAGGGAGTGGGTTTCTAATGTAAGTGTAGACTAGAGGTAGAGACTCTTAACAGACTGACTGGAGAATTTCCTGTATGTCCATACTCATATACACAGTAAATAAGTAATGAACCAAACGACTTTCGGATGGCCACCCGATCCCACCAGACCACATCTCAACGAAGAAAAGGAAATAGGGCGGATGAGCCTTCCTAAGTCTTTCAATCGTTACTTATATGTATCTATATAAGCACAGACGTACATCTAACTACGACTAAGTGTGTAATAGTTGAAGACATATCATCATGGTGTGAATTCATACAGTGTGGAATAACAAAATCGTAAAGTATAAGTGTATCAAGTATAAGGGATTCTTGTGAAGTAGGAGTGTCTGACGAGTGAAGTAGGAGCGGTCGCAAGTGATGTAGAAGTTTCGAACAAGTATAAGCGTATCACGAAGTGGAGGCGACAATAAGTGAAGCGAGAGCGTATTAAGTATAAGTGAAGTAGAGTAGATATCCAGTATAAGTGAAGTAGAGTCAATATCAAGTATAAGTGAAGTAGAATCGATATCACTAAGTAAGAGCGTGAATAAGTATAAGCATCATCATGTATAATCGACTATAGGTATAAGTGAAAGTGTTACCGAGTCAGAGTATAAAAATAAGTATAAGCGATACAGCAGTGTTTAACAAGTAAAAGTATACGTCAAAAAGGGAAATCTTTAATGAAAAGCCTTTATGTACAGAGAAAATCACAAATTGTATTCCTTTGTAAAATACGTTTAAAACCTTAGAGGATCTTTCATAAACCAATTTAGGATGAATTTGAATAAATCAGTATAAGTAAAAGTTATGAAACAGGTAAAAGTCATTTTAGTGTCCCACTCGGTAAAACAGTGTAAAAGTGGTAAAATCTTGTGCATGCGGGTTATCAATCATATGCGATTGACATGATAACTGGCATGTTTAACTTGTATTCCCCCCTATAAAACATTTAAAAGCATTTAAAAGGTTCATTCAGGGGTATGAACTCACTTGGTGTAAGTAGGTCCGACGAAAGTGCCGATTGGGCGTTCGGGGTCACGTAAGGACTTGAACACACACAAAAGACCTATTTTAACATATGATAACATATGTTCACATACAATTAGCATATAATATACTAATTAAACAATTATACACACTCAAAGGAGTGGAAAACACTTTTGGTTGAGTGTTTGGGGTCCCGGGTAGCGTTTACAGGTGCTAAGGGTCTCTTATCAGTTGTGGGACTTTGCTATACTCACATATCAAGTGTGTAAATGGATTTAAAACACCAACATGGACCAAACAAGGAGTTTACAGCCCAACCTAAGGGGAGTTTACGGCCGTAAACTCCCAAGGTCCTATTCTTGGGTGTTTGATGCTTCTAGCTTGTTCAAAGAATTATTCCAAGCACTTTTCCTAAAAGGTATGTGTGGGTTTGAGGCCTCTAAGGGTACTAAACAAGAGTTTACGGCCTAGGAACTCTCCCAAGGGAGTTTACGGCCGTAAACTCTCAACCTTTGGGTTTAGTGAAGTTTTAAGCCCCTATTGCCTTCCTGGAATTTTCTTATGAAGTTTGATGCTATTTTGGGTGATTAAAACCAACATTTGAGGGGGTTTTGGGGAGTTTACGGCCTAGATAAATGCTTGGGCCATAAAATCCTTTCTTTAAATCATTTGGAGTGTTTCAAGTGTCTAAAATCAAGAGGATAAGTCCCTAAGTTATGTAATAAGCCCTAGGATGAGTTTGGTGCACATTTGGGACATTTTGACATGATTTTGAGGAGTTTACGGCCTAAGCTTGTGCTTGGGCCGTAAACTCTTGTTTGAGTCCTAAAATCATGCCTTTTAATGTTTAAACACTCCTAGGCTATATCCCCTAATTATTCCCAAGCTTATGGACAAGTTTAGAGGCATGTTTGGCACCAATTTAGGGGTTTACGGCCCTAGAATGTTCCTGGGCCGTAAACTCCTTATTCCATGCCATCTTGGATGATTTTTGGGCTATAAACATAAATCACTATGTTTAGAATAAGCTAGGGTAAGCAGACTTACAATTTGGAAGCGTTTGGTTGCGGTTTCGGGGCGAAAACGAATCTAGAGAGAGAGTATAGAGAGAGAGTGTAAAAAGTTTCCAATAGGCTCCACTCACCCTTATATAGGGTTTTGAGTCGGGGCACAGTGGAAATTTTACCCGATACTGCCGTTAAACGGGGCTTTTGGTCGCACCCGATTTAGTGGTCGTAACACAAAACTTGACATCTTCCATCTTAATGGAAATGTGTGTCCTGTGTTTTTATTTCCTTTTATCACGACTTAACGGCTTGTTAAAGGTAATCAAATGGAAATGTTTATTAAACTGACGCCCTTTAATTAATGGAACTTTTGAACAGTGGAATATTTCGTTAGCAGTAACGGAGAAATGTAACGGGACAACTTGGGTTGTCACACACACACACTAATCCTATTTAATATATAAAGGCACATATATGTATCTAATTAGTGATTATAACACTAATTAAGCAAGTAAGACACCCTAGAACATGGAAAACACTTTGATTCAAGTGTTATAAGTAATAAAGGGCTACATCTAAGGGTTGTATGGCTTTGCTTTAGAGTTTACGGCCCAAGGACCAATTCTCCATGAGTTAACGACCTAGGGTTTGTGGCCCTTATGGGTTTACGGCCGTAAACCCATGGTGACTTGTACCAATTCGATGTTTAAGGTTCTTAGCTTAAAGGGAAGGTGTTCTAGGCCAAGTTCCAAGCCTTAGGAAGGAGTGGTGGCACAATTGCACCACTTAATAGTGTTTACGGCCCAAGAAGATTGCCTTAGCCGTAAACACCATATGTTCTTGAGTTTCTTGATGATTTCTAAGGGTTTAACAAGTGATTTAAGCATGTAACTAGTTAAGAGTAGTGTACTTACAATATAGGAGCTTGTAAGTGTGCTTAAAGCCCAAGAACACTAGTATGCGTTCTTGGTGAAATGAAGAACACTTGAAGATCTATGGAAAAGAAAGGATTTCATGGATGAAATCATGTATAACCACTAGATAAGTAGTTGTAACAACAAATCAAGAGAAGAAAAACTTACATTTTTTGGAAGATTGGAATGAAGAACTTATGATACTTGAGAGAGAATTGGGTGTTCTTGAGTTGGAAAGGAAGGAATGGTGAAGAAAAGGGGTAAACTCATGCTTATATCATGAGCTCACAGCTAAATTGGAGTTTACGGCCCAAACTCCTAAAGTTTGGCCGTAAACACCTAATTATGGTGTTAAATGTTTGATTGATTCACAAAACCCTAGAAGGTACTTCCTTTCATTTGTTCCTTTGATGCATTTAAGATTAAAACACCCAAACATACTCGAAAAGTGCTAAAAGTTAGCAGAAACAAGTTTGACTTTGATTGAAATGTAGGGTTTGTGCAAGGTGAAAATTTTAGGTTGTCACGGAGACCCTATTTAAACACCTTAAGTCCCTTGAGGCCTCTTCATGCTCAACCTACACTATCCCCAAAGCAGTCATTTTAAAACGCTAGCTATTTTGTGAAGATCTTGAGCATTTGTGTATTATGAAGAAGGAACCCATTAAATAAGCATTGGTGAGCTTGGAGCTTGAAGATCCATAACTTCCATCCCATTTGTAAGCCTTAGAAGGTATAAAGCTTTAAACCTTTATGATTCCTTGGCAGAGATCTAGGTTAGCTTAGAGTTTTGCATGTTTTTTGGTCCCATAGTTTTGGTTCTTGTGAGTAAAAGCTAGTCCAAAGCTTATGGTTGTCATATTTTGTCATTTCTAAGGATTTTAAGTCATAAAAATAGGAACTTGGACACTCCCATTCTTCCTTGCATGAGATCTTAGACCTTGGAGTGTATTTTGCATCTAGAGTTTGATTTTATGCTCTTTTAAGCCATGTAAAAGCTTAAAGTCAACACCTTTATCAGTTAGGACATTCCTTAGATTAAGATCTGAGAGTTGGACGTTTAGTCTTTTAAGAATTAAAGACTTAATGAGGAAGTATATGAAGTAGAGGGTTACGCAGGGCGTAACCTTGGGGTACGCAAAAGTTACACAATGCGTAGCATACCCCTGCCACATTTTCTGTGGAAAGTCGGTACACATGGCGTAGTGAAGGAGTACGCATGATGTACTCCAAAAAGTGGAAATGGGTTATTTTTAGGGCTTGAACCATGTTTGGTTGTGATTGACTTGGAAAAGATATGTTCTTTTATCCTATTAACCAATATCAACCAAAACAATTAACTGATTAAAATCATAAACTAAAATTAGTTATTACCAATCTGTAACCAATCTGACCTGATCATACCAAAGGCCAATAAAAAAAATAAATAAAATGACGCCGGTTTTGCGGTTTTCTCTAAAAGCGATAAAACGATGCCTTAACGGGGACGTAAGCTGAACGGCGAAGACAGCACCGTCTAACAAGCTTAACGCACGTAGCAATTTGTGAAGAGAGATCCTAGTGGCACTTGTACACAACCTTCCCTATTTGCACTTTAACATCAACAATTGTTTCATACGTTAGCATCGTAGATCTGTGTTTTGCTTGATTCTCGCAGCAAAAGGTCACTGATATTGCCATTATTTCTTTCTCTTTATATTTTCATCCTTTGACTTCAGTTGCTAAATCTACTGTTTTTCTAGGGTTTGTTTTGTCGTTCGGCTTCATCCATGGATTCTTCTTCAGGGTCGGAATTCGATTATTTGTTCAAATTGTTAATGATTGGGGATTCAGGAGTTGGTAAAAGCAGTCTTCTCTTGAGTTTCACGTCTGATACCTTTGAAGAACTTTCTCCTACGATTGGTAAATCGCTCCCTTTTCTCTTTACTTGCAATATCTTCTAGTTACTGTGCTTTTTCTTTCTCCTGTTACTTGCAAGTTTCTCATTTGTAGGATTCAAAGCGGCCTGTATCTGTGTGTAACATAGTTTGATAAAATAATGAATATGTCTCTTTTTTCTGTAAACGTGAGATCAATAGCTCAACTTGTTTCCTGGTCTTATTTAGGGTGCAACTTAAGATGGCTGTTCTCCCATGAATTCTCATAAGATGTTACAATAAGATACCTAAAGTATTGAAAGACTTACTTGATTAGTTGAGTTAATGAATTATTTCATTAACAAACCTAAACATTCTTCACAAATCAATTGCAGTTTGCAAGTGTTTCCTTTTGTGGAGATGTCTCAGTTGGAGTTGGTCTTTTAGGGCCTATGTACTTCCTGCTGCTCAATGTGTAACGATCTGGATCTTACACTCTTAGCTTAAAGCCCACAATTCAAAAAGCAAATAGGTATTCGAAGTCTTAAAGGGGATTGCTTAATATCATGATTGGTTCGTGAGTCCACTAGAAGCAATTTGAGGGAAAAATTCACAGTTTCTGTCACTTGTTAGGATGGGTCTGAGATGTTTTTTAAATGTAAAAGATTTCCTATGTCAGGTCAATTGGATCTCCAGTTTCTTTGTTTGTTTTCAATTTCTCCAGACTCCAGACGATGTAATGTCAATGAATAGGCCTTTAAGGCTGCATCTCTTACATGGGACAAAACTGCATGGAACTTTATTGGACTAGACTGGGGAGAGGGAGAGAGAGAGATTGCAAAATTTTGTTCTTTTCTGCATAACAAACAAACAGGCCTAACCTAATAATAGTTTGTGAGCTGTTGAGAGAAAGGCTTAAAAGGTGTGGCATGCATGATTTTGTAATCTGTTGTTCTCATATAGATATAGAAGTCATGTATTTGTAAAATCTGAGGGTTCTACTACGAATTACAAAATGAATGCAAGTTAAGCAAAGACCGAGTCATGAGTCATGTCTAAATATCAGCAAGGATAGTTTGATGTTACCTTTACTTGGCAGTTGATGTACCAGTTTTCTGCCTTAGAATAATGAAGCCGATAAGCCCAAACATGTTTGTATTCAACTATCTGGTGCGGTTACATAATTATCTTGAAACTGATAAGCTAAAAATACAATTTTATGCTTCTGAGTTCATACTCACCAGATGCCATGGACCTTGGGGTCAATCTACATGTTTTTTGACAAAACAACACTTACGCTGACATGTATTTTCATTGTTCATAATATATATATATATATATATATATATATATATATATATATATATATATAAATAAGGAACCATTAAATTGTTGCTTGGTGTTCACCATCCCTACCCCACCACTGTTGCCTTGATCCAATTGATGGCCAATATGGGCTTAGCAGTTGGAGTCGAAGTAGGATAAGGTGGTGGTTTGGAGTTTGTTGCTGTGGTAAGTGGTTTGGTTTGGTGTTTGCTGAAAACCGTAACTCCTCTTCTTTTCATTTCAAAATTGAAAAAGCTGTATTTCTTTGCACAAATATATCCTGGATTTATTTAGGGGTATTATGATATTTTTCTCAACACCAACCAACCTGACCCGGGGTAGCACAAATTTCAAAGTACATTACTATGTATGTATGTATGAAAAAAGGAACAGTGACTTAGGTAGGAGTAGGACGAACTAAAAAGTTGGTTGTTATTATATACATATATATATATATATATATATATATATATATATATATATATATATATATATATATTACATGACTTTAGAAAGTACATACATGTTCATGTTGGTAGTTGTCTAAACGTATGACACGTAGATGCTACCTATGCAAATCTCAAAAATGGTCAGGGTAGAAAACCTGAGCTTTTCCATGTTCAGTCAGTAGCATAAAATAGAACATTTGTGAAAGCATGTTGCTATTTTATTGATGAAAAGGAAGGGAATTAGGGACATTTTATCCCTGTTGGATTTGTTTGCTTGTTATTGTGATAGTTTTTGGTTGCCTGCAGTAACATCTGTTTAATGAGTGTGTATATTTTAGTACTGTAAAGCAGAACATTGACTGATGATAATTTGCATTGTTGTGCTGAGTGCTGTGCAGGGGTAGATTTCAAAGTAAAACATGTTACAATTGGGGGGAAGAAGTTAAAGCTTGCTATTTGGGATACCGGTAATATTTTTATTATCAACTATATTAGAATGCCATTCATAGATTAATAAAGTTTAGCGTTGTTGACTTAAACTTGTCTCTCTTTCTTTCTCTCTCTCTCTCTCTCTCTCTATACATATATATATATATATATATATATATATATATTGTTTTCTGTCCTTTTAGTTACCCTACCCCACTCCGTAAGTGGGTATTAGGAAGTGAAAGTGATTTGTTATACTTATACTTAGATGGGTTGATTTCCATAGTATTAGTATGTGGTTTAGTAAAATAAGTACATGGCTTATATTATGAGGAAATTACTGAAATTGCGGGACAAACTGAAAATATGAGACAATTTGGACCTTTCCAAATGGATTCACACTTTTTTAAATAGTTGCGAAAACGATCGGATGGACAATAAATAATCAACCAAGGCTGGGCTGGGCAAGCTTTTAGATTATGTGGCTGGCGCTAATATTAATTATGCTATCTTCGATGAGGGCTTTTGTTTTGTACATACAAAAGATCAAGATCAGAAGCAAGTCTCACAGATTGCATTTTTTCTTTTTCTGTCACCCTCCAAATCCAAAACCACTTCCTACAAACAGGCCTCAATCCACTACATATAAAACTATTATTTTCAGAATTCAGATTATCTTAAATCTTAATGAGGAACTCTAGATGTATTGTAGGTGGTTACCTTACCTGCTAGTTGCTGCAAACACAACAGCTTTCCCAACTATTGATTCGATACCACCACTGGAGGAAGTTCTCTACGGACTAGTATTTGTTTTTGGGCTGAATGACAGTTGATCACCATTTTACCCTTCTATATGAAATATATCTGTTTTGATAATGTATGTTCTAAATGACAGACTGACACAGAATTATAAAATATGAAACGACATAGATTCTTAAATATTTGATATGCAAATGATAAATTCATGAAATAATTAAATCAAATACTGATATAGATTCTTAAATATTTTAATCTGAATTAGCAAATTCTGTTTTAGAAACTACCATTATAAAATTGCTAATACATTTACTCATTGCTTACGTAGGACAGTCCAGACGAGTTAGTAAATTCTAGGTTCAAGATCGTGACGTGAATTTGCTATGTAATATATATAATCAGACTTTGGAAGTGTTCTAGAAAGCTGATATAATATTATGATTTATGAATGAAAAATATTTGATATATATATATATATATATATATATATTAATAAATAAGAAATATTTGGATGCTGTAGCTTGTTATAGCTACTTTTGCCTCTCAGATATATGTATGTGTAGTGTGTACCCAGCCTGCTATCGAATTAACAGAGTCATCCCTTCATCCAACCGTGTTTCCCGTATTTATTTTCTTCTGCATCCAGCATTGGCATTGATGAACTCTTAGTGCTGCTAGAAAGGGTAATCCTGTTAGCAGGTGAAAGCTTGTCTATTCGATGGAATTCTGATATGCATACAAATGAGTTGCATCATTGCATGTAATATGCTCCTCTCAACAGATTAAGTCACTACAATGTGGCTTTCCTCATGAAGTCGTAATAACTTTCTACAAATTTTCCATTGTATGTTTTTTCCTCAAATCATTTTCGAAAATATTGTGTTTGTGTGAACATAATTTATTCAGACAATATTGAATGTTTTATCCACTGCAAAATAGGGACCTTAGTTCATATAAGAGACGAGACATGTGATTTCAATGTAGGAAAATGTTTTTTTTTAGATGCTGACAAGTGCAGAGTGTTGTAACTTGTATGTTGTTGATTGCAGCTGGGCAGGAGAGATTCAGAACCCTAACCAGTTCGTATTATAGAGGAGCCCAAGGAATTATAATGGGTATGCGATTGCAAAGCCTTCTTTTGTTTTTATTGCCTTCATTACATAACTTTCATTTCATGCTACATTGTTATGTTATATGATGAGTTCAATTCCGCATCTGTTTAATTTTCTCTTCATGTTGATTGCCACAATCCAACTCCTAAAAATATCTTAATTAAATTGCCCATCATACTCATAGTCATATAAAAGTTAGGGGCTTAGGGCCAAATGCAAGAAATAGCATTTGTTATTACTTTATATTACAGTTTCTTTTTTCTTATTAAGGCATTGTACTTTGAAAAACTAACCCTTATAGTCATAGCAATTATTTTTCTTATTTAATCATTGTAGTTGAAAAATCTATCCAATTATAGCAGTGAGAATTACTTGGTATTTGGATGGCAATGCTGCCTATAAGCTGTAGATTTTTTCAAGTAAAATGTCATAACAGGATGAAGTGAATGTAATAAACATAAAAATAGAAAACGTTGCTGTTAGGGCTAAATGCTAGAAATAGTGACATACTTAATTCCTTTTCAAATATCTTCTTATTAAGACATTTAATTTTAAAATTTACTCAATTATAGCATTGTACTCACATTTTCTCTTATCCAGACATTGTACTTCAAAAATCTACCCAGTTGTAGCATTGTACTTCATTTTAAAGACATATCCACTGAAAAATCTATTAAATTATAGCACTGACGATTGCTTAGCATTTGGATGATATTGCTATAATTAGGTAAAATTTTCCAATTTCAATGATGTAAACTAACACGCGTAAATGGAAGTAGGATACTGTCATACTGAGATTATCAAAAAACATAGAAGTCATTGCTATTTCTTGCACAAGTTAGGGCTAATTGCACGAATTAGCGACATACTTCCATTTCTTTGTTTATTATAGCATTGTATGTGCATTTTTTTCTTCCTATTATTACAACATTGTACTTCCATTTTTCCTTATTACGACATTGTACTTTCTAAAGTCTATTCAATTATAGAATTCTACTTTATTTTTTTTAGTAAGACGCACTTTATAAAAATCCAACCAATTGTAGCATTGTACTTTCGAGTTTTTTGTTTCTTATGAAGACATGCTTTGAAAAACCTATCATCCAGTTATAGGCTTATAGCAGTGAAAATTGCTTTGTATTTTGATGACATTGCTATAATTATTAATTAGGTAGTTTTTCAAAATTCAAAGTACAATGTTTTAGTTGGAAGAAATGAAAATAGGAAGTTTTAATAAACAAAACAATACAAGTACGTTGCTGTTCATTGCATTAGTTTGTTTTGTTTCTATTATTTAATTAGTTGATTTTTCCAAGTAGAGTGGTGTAAGTAAGTTCTGTTATCACGAGAATTTCTACTTAATATTTGTTTCTTGATTGATTAATATATACATATGATCTCATCATAAAAGCAAAACCAAATACTCTTACTCTTGTCTTCCTAATCCTTTGTGTAAAAGAAAGCTGTTGGTTATTTGTCAGTTTACGATGTAACCCGGAGAGATACGTTCACAGACTTATCTGATATATGGGCAAAAGAAATCGACCTCTACTCAACCAATCAAGATTGCATCAAGATGCTTGTTGGCAATAAAGTTGATAAGGTAACTAACTGCACTTGTATTTGTGTCCCATTCAATTCTACTTAGACTCTATGAATTGGCTTTTTTTCTAGTATCAGTAAAAAAAATGTTAGCTAGAAAGGAAACAAGTTGTCCAAACCAAAGTGTATACGAATCAATGCTTACCACCTACTAAATTGTTTTATTCAGAAAAACAGATTAGTAAAAGGGAAATCACTTTCATCTATTTAGCCAATTAACTATTGTATGCAATGATTGAGCAATTATACTTTTCTTTTATTCCACTTTCGTGGTTTTTGAGTAAGGGGAAAATACAAGAAAGGTTTTTCTCAATTATATTATTGGCGAACAAGTGTCTTTCTGTAGTTTCCACTTATATTATTATAATATATATTTGTAATGGTATTGAATGAATATTATATAATCTGTTTTGCAGGAACAAGATAGGGTTGTGACAAAGAAAGAAGGAATGGACTTTGCAAGGGAATATGGATGCCTTTTTATCGAATGTAGTGCAAAAACACGTGTCAATGTGGAGCAGTGTTTCGAGGAACTTGTTCTCAAGGTATTTATTTGATTGCACTTTTTCTTCTACTTGTTAATTTATGCAACAAAATGATATGAATGATTGATGTCTAGGACCAAAATATGCATCACCATTCTAATCTAATGACATGATGCTACCTTTTAAATTCTTATCTAAATATCTAACTTATCTATGCAACAATGTTCCATTTGTTTTACTAGTTTATGCAACATTTTTTTTTTTTTTTTTTTTTTTTTTTTTTTTTTTTTTTCTGTTTTTAACCAATTTATGCAACTTGCAATTGGTTAAACAGTTGTCGCTTCTAGAATGAAACATGTTACTTGTTGTCTAATAACTAACAAGTGCTATTCTTTTTTACTATTATCATTAGTACTATTCTATTTTATTTATATAGCGTGGAGATTGCTTTGTATTTGGATTGGATGACATAGCTATGATTGGGTTAATTTATCATGATACAATAGTCTAATAGACAGAAATGGAAGTAGAATGCTATCATAAACAAATACATATATAGGAACATTGGTATTTGTGTATTATTATTATTATTATTATTATTATTATGGACGAAATGTGCAGATTTTGGATACGCCAAGTTTGACTGCTGAGGGGTCAACTACTGTGAAAAGAAACATATTTAATCAAAAGCCTCCATCAGCTTCAGATGCATCAGCTAGTGGATGCTGCTGAATTTTGATGTGTTGTAACTTGAGGAATATGTATGTTATGTCATGTGGGATGTATGTTTGTTATTTCTGTCATGTTCTTTGAAATGACCCACCCTTGTATCTTTGGTTCAACTATGATCATCATATATTTATTATATACTGAAATTGGCTGATAAAATCTATTGTAGACGTATGTTTCACCCATC